TCTTTATTCCATTGATGTAGGCCCTTCACTGAAAAAGAAAAAAAAAACATATACGAGCTTGACAGAAAATAAATTTTTTTATGTAGAATAGGTTTATTACCGTTCACGTAGCAGTATATAACGGCCTATGTTGATTGATGCTATGAAACACAGACATGAAGGTCATGGTTGAATGCGTTTCTGCTGACACGTCAATGCGTTACAGATCCACAATGTCAACGCATTACATACCGACACACGACGGGAAAAAACAACACAAAATCAAGATACATCGATTTTTAACGGAATTCTAAAAGTTGGTTTCTATTGATTATTGTTATGTTCTTGGAAGGTTTTAGAACAATAAATAAATAACACACATAGGTTTTAAATAGCGTGAGTTACTTAAATTCCGGAACTCAAACAACACAAACAAATACACAGCAACGACGATGCACCGATAGGTGGCGCACTAACAGTTAACTTAATTCTCAGTGCACAAAACCTCCCCACTAAGTAAGTTCAATGTTAATGGGAGAAACATAAACTTTAATACTAATATGAGAACATCATCTTAGGTTTACGCGCTCTGCTTGAACGACGGGGATTCTGCAGTCCATATTGCTCACGATTGTCATTATGGACTCTATTATGTTTATCATGGTTAATTGAAGGTTTAGGGGCATTAACATTAGTGTCCATCATAGCTTGTTCGACTGCAGGATAATTATTGTCCAACAGACTATCATGTTGGTAATCAATTCCTGGATCCGCATCTTCTTTGGTTTCATATCGTGGCTGCAATTGTTCTATGTGGCGTCTCCACACTGGGCCTTTAGGCACAACTTTAACATTTACTGAACGTGGTCCTAATCTTTTAGTAACCACGGCCGGTACCCATCTGGGGTCTTTATCTCTCCTTGGTCCACAATACAATGCATAACATGTGTCTCCAACTTTATACTCTCGAACCAGTGACTTAACATTTTGTTTGCCTTATGCAATATGAGCTGGTGAAGGCAATAAGGTGTCAAATCTTGGTTCTTATTTGTCTTCCATTTAGTAGTTCGCTGGGGGAGAATCCTGTAGGCAGTGGAGTACGTCTATACTGTATAAGGAATTCCTTCAGTGCAACATCTGGAGGATGAGTAGATTTCCTCAATGCTTGTTTGAAACTTTGTACTAATCTCTCCGCAGCTCCATTGGTAGCTGGGTGGGATTGTGCTCCTGTAAGGTGGACAATACCCCTCTCCGTACACCAAAGATGAAATTCATCCGATGTGAAAGTAGTTGCGTTATCAGATACCAGAGTGTGTGGGTATCCGAAATGTGCACAATCCTCTTCAAGTAGCTTGATAGTAGCGCTGGTCGAAGTGGAAGTATTTGGATGAATACACGGGTACTTTGAATATGCATCGACTTCTAACAACCAATTTGAACCCATGAAATTAATCGCATGGTCAACATGTACTCGACTCCATGGTTTTTCCGGAAGCATCCAAGGGTGTATAGGTGCTTTGTTAGGCTGGTTTTGATGTTCTCCACAAGGTGTACACGTACGACAAGTGTCCTCTATGTCGGTATCAATATTTGGCCAGTAAACAGCAGTACGTGCTAGCTGTTTCATTCTCTGCATGCCAAAGTGTCCAATATGCAACAGTTCCAAGACATGGGAACGTAGTTTGAAGGGTATCACCACTCTGTTTCCATACAGTAGACATCCATTTGTTACCATAAGTGAATCCTTCAGTCTCTTGAAATCTTGTACCTTGTACCCCTCTGTACTTTGGGTAACGGTTATCTCCCGAGAAGGCCACCCTTCTCTGGTGTATCTAATCACAGTTGTCAGTACTGGATCCTTAAGGGTTTCTTTCTGCAACAGTGTAGCATTGTTGTTTAATTGGAGATTGATTGACTTTATCATACAGACTGTGTCTGTTTCCGCATCATCCTCTTCCCTGTCAAAATCTTTGTCCAGTGCCATTGGCAACCGACTTAACACATCTGCATTTCCATGATCAGTTGTCTTCCGATACTCAATGGTATAATCATACTGATTCAATATTAGAGCCCACCGGGCTAAACGATTTGCAGCTAGAGTTGGTGTCAGTGTATCAGGTGCAAATAGTGATATCAAGGGCTTGTGATCTGTTACTAGGATGAACTTTCGTCCATAGAGGAACTGATGAAATTTATTCAAGGCAAAAATAATAGAAAGGGCTTCCTTCTGAATTTGTGCATACTTGCGTTGGCTGTCATTTAGTGTTTTTGAAGCATAGGCCAGTGGTCTTTCCCTCCCATCGGCATAACGATGAAACAACACTACTCCCACGCCGGTTTCAGAAGCGTCGCAAGCAATACCAATAGGTAGTGATGGGTCGAAGTGACAAAGAATTGTGTCATTGCATAACAAGTTCTTCAAGTGTTGAAATGATGCTTGTTGCTCTTTACCCCACTCCCATGGTATATCCTTTCTGGTCAACCTGTTCAGAGGGCTGGCTATGGTTGAAAGGTTTGGTAGGAATTTACCGTAGAACTGCAATTTCCCCAGGAACGCTCTCAGTGTCGAGACATCTGTCGGTGGTGGCATTTGAAGTACCGCTTCCACTTTATGACCTTTCGCAACACCTTGACTTGATAGTTTGTGTCCTAGGTACTCAATTTCTGCTTGTGCAAACTCACATTTCTCCCTCCTTCATCTTAGACCATTCTCCTGCAAGCATTGTAGAAGCTGTCTTAGGTTATGTAAATGTTCCTCAGCATTATGTCCACTAACTAGGATATCATCAAGATATACAGCAACACCTGGAAGGTTACCTATCAGTTGTTCCATGATGCTCTGGAAATAACCTGGTGCACTTTTGATACCAAAAGGTAGGCGCGTCTGGAGGAGAACTCCTTTGGTGAGTTTTAAGTGCCAGTCGTTTTTGACTTTCAGGACCCAACCGAATCTGGTTGTAAGCATCTGCTAAATCAATTTTAGTGAATCCATGGCCTCCAGACAATTTACGCATTAGGTCTTCTGGCAAAGGTAGTGGATGGCGATGATCCTCTAACTGTGGATTCACTGTTGCCGAGTAGTCCCCACAAACTCTTAATTTATTATCCTTGCGTACTGGGACCACGGGTGTACCATATGCATTAAACTTAACCCTCTGGATACCGGATTCTTTTGTAGTGCAAACCCTTGAATACCGGATTCTTTTGCAGTGTAACTAGGTTTTTTGCATTTTTTGAGTATACATTGTTCTGGTGGATTTTTGGGAACTTTCTGTAAATTATACAGAAAAATGTTTCAAAAACAAAGAAAGCTTATAGAATAAGCTTTCATTTGATGTATAATTTATATTTTTAGGATTTTTTTTTCATAATATAATATAATATAATATATATATAATATAATAGAAATGACAGAAAAATGCTACATATAAATCGTCAGCAAAAACCAAAAAAAAAAAATTATAGCCAAAAAATAATAAAAACAAATATAAAACATTCCTATTCCACACAGTTATATAATTTATTTACCCAACCATCCATAAATATAAGCACGATCTTTCCATTCAAAAGCAACGACCACCCTCACATTTCTAGGCCTAGGCTCATCTTCATCTAGAACATCTTCACCGTCAGAACTGCTTGAAGCCCCACCGTCATCATCGCTATCAGGCACGTCTAAGTCTCGCACATCTAAAAACTCACTTTCATTGCTGTCTGAATCAAAAATCAGGTCAATCGCTTCATCAGCTGTGTACACATCTTGTGCGGCCATTTCGGAAAATTTTCGAAATTAATAACGATTTCAAATTGATATTTCTAAACATTTTTATATAAGCGCATATGAGTTCTTCACAGATTTCGAAAGAAGAAAGCTTCACGCATGCGTGTTCAAAATTTCTGACGTATTAGAGCTAAAATAAAAACAGAAGAGCGATTTGAAAACCACCTATTTTTTAGTCACTAAATTTCGATTGCAGTCGAAAATGGGAATTCTCGGTTTGAGGTTAATTTCGACTATAGTCGAAGACGGTATCTAGAGGGTTAACAGGTGTCCAGATACCTCTCGTTATCCCTGCCTTATAGGCTTGAGCCAAGTCATGTTGTATAGCGAAAGGCACTGGACGTGCCTTACGAAAAACTGTCGTTGAATTCTCTTTGAATTTTACTTCCAGTTCCACATCTTTCAAGCAACCTAACTCTGGTTTGAATACTGTAGATCTGAAAATTCATCGCACATCTGTATGCAAGCATTCTGAAGTGATTCATCTGGATGAGAATCAGGGCTGTGAATAGTATGTACTGGGTGATCCAAAGGCTTGTTATCCATTGCCATTAGAGCATCTACTGAAATTCCAAGCTTACAGATAGCTTCTCTGCCCAGAAGATTAAGTCCGGGCATTTCTGACACTACAAAACGAATCATTTCTGATTGATTACTGCTGTTCTTCACTAAAGTTGAGAACATGCCGAGGACTGGAAGATTATGGCCTGATGCTGAGAGGTATTTAGCATCAAGTTTGGACAACTGTGGTTTGCTCAAGTCTGCCCATACTTCCTTACACGTGAAATTGTCCCCTGCACCTGTATCAATTTCAAATTTGTACATTTTATCACCAATGTACACATCACTGTAAATCTGCTGCATGGTTACCTGATTGACAGAATTAATTATAATTTTCGTCATGGTAGTAGATTTCTTCTTTTGTTGGCATACTGTTTCCAAATGACCCGTTTTCTTATAGAAATTGCATGTTGTAGCTTTATGTCTGCATACATTTGCCAAGTGCTGTTTGGAGCCGCATCTATAGCATGTACGTTGGGTTTTCTTTACCTCAGGTTTGGTCTTGGTATGTTGAAGTTTATTCACTGATGTAGTTTGTGAAGGTCCATACACTATTTCCTTTGCATATTTGGCTGCATCCTCAACTTCTGCTGCTACTTGTATGGCTTTAGTAAATGATAGATCATCATCCTTTATTTTGAACAAAGCTTTTAGGACGGCCTCATTGTTGACACTGCACATAAAATTTGTTCGCAGTGCTTCATCCAATGGATCTTTTATTTTCATGAAATCGCACGTTGCAGCTTTCTGCCTTATTCTAGCAGCAAGTTCATTGACATGCTCGCCTGGTTTGCGTTTCATATTAGACCAGAACTTGAATCTCTCTCTGACGATGAACCGTTTAGGATCGAATTGAACCTTCATAAATTCTTCAATTTTGGTCAATGTCAAAGTACTTGTTTCAATTGGAGGATTTTCCTTGGCAGCTTGGTTTGAAATTACCTTATAAATGTCCTTACTTTGGTTAGTCAGAAACACTTGGGCTTCCTTATCAGAAGGAACAGAATGCGCTGGTATGAATGTCTTAAATCTAGCCCAATATTCAGTCCACAATTCAGTTGTAGGATCAAATGGTGTAAACTTGGGAGTCATGTTAGTAATAGGAGTAACGACCTGTTGCTTTTGAGACTGTGACTGTTTAAACGTAGTCATCAGTTCTAGCATTTGATCTCCCTGGGTTTTAAGTTGCGAGCGTAGTAACTCGTTTTGTTCCGCCATCATGGCCAGTAATTGTGTTTGCGTGTCCAGAGCAGTCATCCTCGTGAATACGGTACAGTATAGCGTGCACGGTAACTATGTAGAATCAGGTAGGTAGCCTAAGCCCTGGGCTTAGCGAAAAATCTTCGAACAGTACTCACGTTAAATGATGAAAATAAACGTCCTCGTCGCCATTGTTATGTTCTTGGAAGGTTTTAGAACAATAAATAAATAACACACATAGGTTTTAAACAGCGTGAGTTACTTTAATTCCGGAACTCAAACAACACAAACAAATACAGAGCAAACTTTCTGTATTGTAAGATGGTCGTCAACGACGATGCACCGATAGGTGGCGCACTAACAGTTAACTTAATTCTCAGTGCACAACAATTATTAAGTAGTTTTCTACTCTGGTGTGGTAATATTTTTATCATTTTTGCACCCGTGTGTTCCAGAGTGGTCCCGAGTGGTCGCGAGTGGTCCCGTGTGTTCCGTGTGGTATTTAGTAGCACCCTGCTACTTATCAATCATCCTGTCAATTTCGTCAAAGAAAAGAAGTCTTTACGGGAATTGCCACTAGTATTGTTCCATTTGACAATTTCGCGGTATTTACGCTTTAAATAGTTCCATCTATCTCGACATTGTTCTTCTGTACAGGGAGTTGTTATTTTATCTAAATAACAACTCCCTGTTCTGTATGTGCAATAAATAGGCCTTTTTCACGAATCGGTAGACATCATGAAATGATGACAAACATTGCGAATCAGCGGTGCGTAACCAACAGAAATAAGATAAGCTTTTGGGCTGATTTTTTGACGTCATGTTATTTAAAAAATCATAACTCTATAACGGGACGTCGTATCCAAAATATTTTTTCCAGCAAAATGTTCTTAAAAGACTAGTCTACACAAGACTAGTCTACATCACTATATGATTGAAAATTTAAAATAGGTATATGCATTACAGTGCTGTAGTACTGTACTAGTAATACCCTGAACTAGCATTGTTTTAGTTACCATTTATGAGAGTTCCCTAGTGATCGGACCATCGGACTTAAGCCAATGAACTAGCTAGCCGTCTTTGGCAGTTCCGGTGTCCCGTTTCAAGTTTTGAATTCACAAACGAAGCGCCCATTCTAGTGCCGTTGTCTTGTAGCGAGTGTAAAGGAAGGAAGATTCAGAGGCCTAAGAAAGTGAAGTAAAAGTAAGTATTATACTTGTGTAGCCTAGACATAACTGTTGTTGAATTCCCTAACTATACTACTGTGCTAGGCCTAATTCGCGGCCAAAACCATTGCATTCCATGGGCCTGGCCTAGATACGTAGGCCTAGCTGGGCCTTCTTGTTTAAGCGTATGCTCTGGCCTAGTTTCTTGAACTAGCGTTGGATCGCCAGTTAACTCTCAGGCTAGGGGCGTAAGGCAGGGCATATCCTACGTTTTTTGTCTTATTATATTTTTCGCCGGTGTATAGGGGTGCAGTAGGAAATTAGCGGGAAAAAAGTAAAGGAAAATTTATTTTTGGTTTTTCTGAATCAGTATATCATATAGTGTCTCGGAAAAAAAATCCCCATTCTTAGAGCTTGGGCAAATTTTTTTATAGCACTTTGAAATTTTGACATGAAATATCCTATTTTGGACTATTAAGATGGGGGTAGGGGAAATAAATGTATGTTTTTAGTCACTTCATACATGTTACGTTTATTCTGTAGTTGATGGATACGATCTACCGTGGGGGCGTTTATTCGCGTTGTTGCACACTAAAATAATACAGACTTCGCTTGACTTGTAAAACTTTGATAGCAAACTTTAATTCTTGTATCTGTATAAATGGATTTAAAGGGAAAACTATTGATTAGTTTTCTCAGATGATAAGGAAGATTATGACTCGGCAACAACATGTGATAGAATGACAGTGTTGCTACTGGTGATGGGACAGGGAGTGTCAGCTGAAGGGTGGGGAAGAATGAGGGCAGTTAGGCCGATATATCAACTTTAAGACTATTATATATATATATAAGTATATATTTACAGAAAACTTGTATAATGACGAACTAAATATATATTGTTTAAAAAATGTGACCTTCATTTATGCAAATTAGGTCCATAAAGGCCAAAATAGATGATTCTGAACCGACCTAATTTAAAAGTTTATAACACCACAATAAGATCATAATTCCAATATTTTAACACGAAGTATAATATATCTTTAACTGAATAATGATGGCTTAAAAAAAATCTTTGAAGGAATATGAAAATCTTAATTTTAGGAAAAAATTTAAAAAGCATGATTATTGTTCATAACTTAAATTTTGTTCAACTACTTTTCAAAGACTATACTGAAAACACATACC